AAAAGCTAGTGACTGCCCACTGATCTGGAGTGTGGATCCATTCTAACCAATTTATAATTGGAAATAACACCCCATCTGCTCCAGATCTTAAATTCATAATATAAGGAACATATATAAACTTGGAATCACTCTGGATCCTTTTCCAATCCTTAGAAATGATGAAAACAAAATGACATATCTGAACAGACCCAGATCAGACCTAACAGCAAAGATGCCATTCTTTCCCATAGATAAAGTCCTTATCATTGAGATTGTCCTGCTTAAGAAAGTTAGCCAACTCAATTTGTGAACTTTTGGAACTGGTTTGGGGTCCTTTTGAGTTCTAGAGCTCAAGATATGAGTTTTACAAAATGACTACAGATCTGATGGAAAACAGAATCGTAGCCACACATGATTCCTTTTTGGCTTATCCATCCTTCTCCCTTTGAAACACATTTTAAGATGTGTTCATCATCCCAATTTATTCCCCATGATCACGATGGTACTAAAAATGGTTAGGTATCATTAGGATTTCATTTTTCCACAAGATTGTAATAACAATCAACATGAAAATGAACATAAAGCACATAAAATCACCATTCTCCCTTTTAAGGTTTCCATGATCTTTTGCCACATGTAATCCCCTAGATCCATCATCCACAATATATGGGGTGAAGATAGGATCTTGAGATGATGTACAATATACAATTACAAATCAAATAAGAAGGAGAAGAAGTGAAGATGAAATCATAAAACTAGAACAAGGTTATGAATCAAGTTGTAAGAAATGATAAGGAGGTTCATACCAATATGAATCAAGGCTAGAAATGAACAAAAATTAAGCTCCAAACAACAGTCTCTTGGTTTCCCTTGATCCCAAAGAGAGAGAGGACGATTTGAGAGAGAGAGAGGGAGGGTTTAGAGTGTTTTTCTTGTGTGTGTTCCAAATGATTCAATTAACACATTAAGTACTATTTAGTAGATGGACTTTGCAAATAGGCCCATAGTCCATGGACTTCAATAAAAGGAGTTTACAAGATGATCAAAAGAGTCCAATAACATAAGAAATCAGACATTGGTTAAATAAATTAACCCAATGTTACAAGGATAATTAAATTAAAATAACCAAACGTACCGAGAAAAACCGGGGCGTTACAATGTGATTTGAAACAAACTCACCGCCATTGTCACTTCTGATTTTCTTAATCTTTTTCCCAAATTGTGTATTAACCATATTGTGAAAGGCTATTAAACTAGTATTGGCATCATATTTGTTTTTAATCAAATATACCCACGTTGATCTACTATAATCATCAACTATTGTGAGAAAGTAATAAGCTCTTGATAGAGAAGGGACTCGATATCCACCCCATATGTCACAATGGATTAAATCAAAACAAGAACTAGTTTTTATTGAACTATCAGGAAAAGGAAGCCGAGTTTGTTTTGCACGAATACAAGGATCACAATTCTCAATGCTAACAATACTACCTATTGAGTGAATATGTTGAAGTTTAGTGCTAGATGCATGTCCTAATCTTCTATGCCATATTTCTGAGTCAATCTTGACTACCATGACTAATGTAAAGACCATTTTCACATTTCCCCATGCCAATCAGCTTCCTCAAGTGTAAGTCCTGAATGAAACCGGAATCTGAGAAAAATGTCATGAAGGAATTAAAATCTTTGGTAACTTTGCTAACGGATAACAAGTTGCATTTGAAATTAGGAATGTATAAAACATCATTCAACTTCATGTTGTTGGGCAATCGGGCATCTCCTATTCCTTTAACGGGAATTTTATCTCTATTAGGAATGCTAACTGGAACGCCATCTTGTGGATGTGTTAAGTTAGTGAGAGTGGATTTTTGACATGCCACATGTTCAGTTGCCCCTGAATCGATTACCCAAGGTAACCGAAATTCAACCTTACCTGCCATGTTGACCTCCGGTTTTTGTACTTGCATCATCAACTTTGTGTATTGCTCCAGACTAAGACCAGGGATAGGGCTGGTCTCCATATCGATGTTGGCTACCTTTGGTTTTGGGCGATTGGTCCATTTTTTATCAGTAGTAGTCTTGCATCGAGTGTCCCACCACTCTCGATAACCAATCTTTTCGAAACAGCCTTCAATATTATGTCCATTCTTTCTGCAATACTTGCACTTCATGCCTTCACGGTTAGTATTCCTTTTCTCAACCGGGTTCTTGTCGGTAGTGATTTGAGCACGCATCTGATAAGCTGATGCATCTACATTGGGTTTTCTAGTAGCTGAGATATTTGGATGTTGTTCATCTTCTGAAACCAAGTGGTAAGTAGCTCCAAGTGAGGGTATAGGTTTAGTGCTAAGGATCTGAGTTTTCACGATTCCAAAAGTGTCCTCAAGACCCATTAAGAACTCATAGACACATTCTTTGTCTCTTGATTCAATGAGCCTTTTTCCAATGTCACAGGGGCATTTGCCACAAGTGCAAGTTGGTATCGGTGAAACAGAGAGAATTTCATCCCAGATTTTCCTCATCTTCGTGAAGTAGGTTGAAATAGAATCAGATCCTTGTCTGAGGATTGTTAGGGCACGTTTCAGTTCATAAGCACGTGGTGCACTTTCCTTTCCAAATCTTTCTTCCAGATCATCCCAAATCTCCTTGGCGGTGGTAGCGTATTTTACATTATTCCGGATATCTTTCTCCATAGTTGTAGTAAGCCATCCCTTTATCAAGGTGTCACTTTGTTGCCAGGTCCTGTACTCATTCGTTTCTTCAGTCGGCTTTTCAATGGTTCCATCAATGAAATCGGCCCTGTTCTTTGCTAGGAGAAAATCTTTCATCTCCCTGGACCAGTATGCATAATTGTTGTCACCAAGGTTTTCATTGACGTGCACTTGTCGTTGATAAACAGTGGAATGGATGTAAAATGGCGAGTTTGGATCTGATGACGGGTTGGTGTTGGTACCGGAGGCACCCGCTGGACTGTCTCCTGACGTTGCTTAACAGGATGCAATATCGAACTAAAATAAAGAACAGTAATTCAAAGGAAATTGATCATCGGCATTTGACTAAGAGGGGATATATATAATCCCAATAGACAACTGGAACTAAAATAAAAAATAAAACAAACTAGTAATTATTTAATATCTAATGTGATTATCCAATAATAAAACGATAACTCGTTTACTAAAACGATAACTCCTTTACTCCTTTACTCCCACTAAGATTGTTGATAACATAATGATGATGGTGTTTCTCTAGTGTAAGCATAGAGGGGGTAGAAATGATATTAAATGGGTGGATTGGTTGATCTCTACTTTCTCTTGTTTGTAATTTTCCTTTGAACTTCTTTTGTTTTTTCTTGCCCCTTCTAGCTCCTTGCTAGGTTGGGCTTTTTATTAATAAATCTACTTTATCGTTTCCAAAAAAAAAAAAAAAAAAAAAAACAACTTTAATTATAAAATGAAGTTAATTAGTCATTAAAGGAAATAAACCAACATTACAATTACAAAACCCATTTTTCTTCCCCTTTTACCTTTTAAATTGGTGCCCCCTTAGTGTATCCTTCTTGGTTGACGAGCAACAAAAGAAAGAATTAAAATACAACTTTTGGTGTTGGTTGTATACCGGCATTCATTCCAACTCTGTTTGGATACCGATAGAGATAAATCAATCGTTATTATTGTTCTCAAACATTAAAGTATCCATACTTATTAAATAATCAATTTGTTGTTTTTTCATGAATCATGTTAAGTTTTAACTAAATGCAACTTTTGGGGATTAATTTTTGTGTAACTCTTAATTCGTCTTATGTGTTTGTTGCTTAATTGTTTTTTTGAACAATTTACTGAAATTTTTTATGTGGTTTGTTCAAATTTCACGTTTGGTTTTTATCTTTTTTTTTGCACTCAGACAGTCCCTATAGTTTGTTTTGGTTGCATTTTTTGTCCCTGAACAACTTGAAATGACTTTTCTGCCCTTTATATTTATTTACATTTTTTATCAGATTTCTTTTTTCTCGTTCTTCTCACCATAGAAAACCCAAACTCTCTCTACCACCACCTCCCGCCACCTCTGTCGGGCGATCCTTTTAGCCGGCGCCGCCTCGTCGGACCTCCACCTTCACTGTTAACGACACTTGGTACCAGATCGGAGCTCCCTTGGAACCCTTGACGAACTAGGGTTTTCAAAAAATGTGAAACCTTCGGAGTGGATGTCGGATCTGCCTAGAAACATCATATTGATGTGCACGTCGGCGAGAGATGAGGTGTTATGACAAAGATTTAGAAAAACAAAGAAGACGAAGATCTAGTGGACGGAGATGCAACCTCCAGTGGTGGTTAGATGCAAGTGCGAGTATGAGTGGGTCACATGTCTCTAAATCATTGATTTCTTTAATTAATAAACAATAAGCAAATAATAAAAAAATTGAAAAAAAAAATACAAAAGGCAAAATAGTCCTTTTAACTTCTGCCAAGGACAGAAAACAAAATAAAAACAAACCATAGGATGGTCCCTATGCAAAACAAAATATAGAAACCAAACGCAATGTTTTTGCAAACCACTAAGGACAATTTCAATAATCTGTTCTTATTTTTTTAATCAACCAATTCTGTGTGTAGATATGTTATGTGTATCTACATTCACACATACATATACTTAAAGAGTTTTATAGAGTGTGGAATTCATACGCAAACCAAAATGTTTCTAGTATGCTGCAATTGACCTCCCATATAGACCTCGAGATGGTTGACATATGCCACTCAGATAGTGCGGTTTAACATTTTATTTTTGAGAAAAAAACAGCAGTGTTGTTATTTTTGAACTTCTGCATGAATTTCAATTTACTTTTACCCCATCCCTTCTTTTTTAATCAAAATGCACTTTAATCCAATTCGGGGAAAAAAACTACTCACCATAACAAAGATTCAAACTTTTATCAAATAAACAGTCACCCTCTCAACATCTAGAAACAGATCTAATAGGGTCCAAGAAAACTTCACAGATGTTTTCATGGATTTATATTTTTGGGGTTCTCAAGCAAGAAACAAAGTACTTTTCCACATCAGCAGAGAAAGAGTAACTATCCAATTTTCAATAAACTTGATAACAAATTAATAGCAAGCATTCTTAACTAGCTGTCAAAAAAGAATTATACCAGCAAAAAAATAAACAAAAAGAAAAAAAAAAAAAAAGGACAGCAATGATTTATAGAAGCTTTTCCTCTACAAACAGAAATTTGAATGAAAAAAATGAAGGAACCAAAGAGATGTGGTAGATGAAGAAAAACCAGGATCCCATTTTTTGTTTCCCAGAACTTAAAATCAAGATTCAAGTATGTCTTTTTTTGATATGATTTGCTTTTTATTTCCCTTTTCATGAAAATAAAAGTTCTTGAATCATAGGAAATAATCAGGAGTCCTACGTGTCACATCTGGTTCTCCCCTCCTTGGAGCTGGCTCAAACTGCAATTTCCAAAAAAAAAAAAAAAATCATCATTTTTATGTAAGTTAAGCATCATATAATTTGTAACACAAATTACATGTAAATATAGTGTAAGAAACTATATGTAACTTTATAGTAAATAATAATTAAAAAAAAAAAAAAGACAAACCTGAATGAATGTGTGACCCTTGCAATCATCTACTTCAAGAATGGAAGCCATATTCCCACATCGGTAGCAATAATTAGGTGCACTAAATATAGTCACAACTTTTTGTTCCTATTAAAACAAATTGATTAAAAAATAATAAAAAAAAAAAACATTTTGTAACAAAATTACATGTCAAAAAAAAAATTAAATCCCTTACATGGCCCCAGTTGAACCCTTCCATAACAAGCTGGTGGGCCCTAGCAATGAGCTTCAAGCTATTGGTATGGTTAAATTGCTCAGATATGTCCTGTCATAAATAAAATAAAAAAAATGAAATTTATAAAATTATAATTTATAAAAAAGAAAAATGAAAATATGAGAAATACTTGGCCAAATGTATATCCAGCTCCACGTGGAGAGATGCCCCAGCCACAACGATCATCAGGATCAGACCATAAAAGGTCACACATGGGGCCCTCATGAGGCACTTCTTGAACTCGATCAAAGTTTCTTATGTTATCAAGTGTTTCGATTGAAGGAGATAATCCTCCATGAAGACAAAAGATTTCAGACTCAACCTATAAATAGTAAATATATATATATATATATATATATATATATATATATATATATATATATATATATATATGTATGTATCATAGAGAGAACAACACAAGGGTAAAATGGTCATTGACTATCCAAGTTAACAAAACAAAAATAAGGGAATGTTTCCGGTTTATACTTAAAAGTTCACGAATAAACAACTAAACGGTAATTATTATCCGGTATCGTTGTTTGGACACAAGGGTAAAATGGTCATTTGCTAAACAATGCATCATTATTTCGACAGAAGGGTAAAACGGTCATTTACTAACCAAGTTAACAAAATAAAATAAGGGAATGTTTCCGATTTATATTTAAAAGTTCCTGAATAAACAATTAAACAGTAATTTTTATCCAGCATCTTTGTTTGGACAGAAGGGTAAAATGGTCATTTATCAAGAGAACATGTTAACGAAATAAAATAAGGGAATGTTTCTGATTTATATTTAAAAGTTCCTGAATCAACAATTAAACAGTAATTATTATCCGGTATAGTTATTTAGACAGAAGGGTAAAATGGTCATTTTACTAACCAATGCAGTGAGTGGAAAGTAGTCAAATAGATCCGTAAATGTCTTCCACACGCTAGCATTACCATATCTACAAAAAAAAATTAAAAAAAATCAAGTTTGGCGAATTTTAAGGTTAAAATTACCTTAGACACCTCTTATCATTCATTATTGAAGGGTATATTAGATTATATACAAATAATTAAAGAACGTTTTTTTTTTTGAAAATGATGATTAAAAGAATGTAGGAACTCACTTTCTTAGGCATTCATCATAAAACCCATAAACTTGAGTGATCTGGACAAACATAAACATTATAACTTATGTTATTTGATATATTTTATATCAAATAATACACATTTAAATGAATAATAAATTAGAACTACATTAAAATAAAATATACCTGCCTACTTTCATGGTTTCCTCTTAAGATAGTAATTCGTTGTGGGTAACGCACTTTGAGAGCCACCAAGAGCTGAATGGACAAAAAACTCATATGAAAATAGATGAAATTACAAAAATACCCTCATAAGTTCACAAAAAAGTATTGGTGGAAAACTTACAGTCACTGTTTCAACTGAGTAATAACCACGATCAACATAATCTCCCATGAATAAGTAGTTTGTATCAGGACACTATATAAAGAACAACATAATTAGCTCTTATAAGTTAAATCATATCAATTTATCATCATTATGATTACATAACACACACCTTTCCACCAATCCTAAAAAGCTCTGCAAGATCATGAAATTGTCCATGAATATCCCCACAGATTGTCACTGGGCTTTTAACAGGCTGAAAAAGACATGAAGAAACAAATCAAAATTCTTTAATCTCATATTTTGGTATGATTAAATGATAATGAAAAGATACCTGGACATTGCTTTCTTTCATCAGGATCTCCTTCGCCTTATCACATAATGACCTAACCTGAAGAACAGGAAAAGGGAAACTACACGGGATCACAACAACATTTGATATGATTGGTTAAAGGTGATCGGATTTAAGAATAAGAGTATATTGTACAGCACATACCCCATCAATCGACAATGAACATTAGACAATCATATCCGAATTTCAATTACTATAATTCGAAAAAAAAATAAACGGATGTATATCGCAAATTAAATATATTGTTCATGCACATATGCATAAAATATCTCATATATATAATCTCCAAAGGATTTTCATTGGAAATATCGAAGGAATTCCATAATTGAAAGAAAAAAGCTTCGTACTTTACGCAATAGATCTGACCCAAGCAGATCTGCCTAACTCAAATCTATTAACCCCGTAAATCATCTCAAATCATCAGATTAATCACAAACGAAACCCGCAAAACAATCCATCCCTAAATCAAAACGATAAAAACGAGATTTGGAATGTAATAACCTCTTGTTCGGACAAGGGTTTGCACTGCATGAGCTGGGAGATATGTTCGTCAACATTGCGATTAACGCGCTGCATAACTGGATCGAAGCTCATGATTTTTTGAATTCGTGGCCAATCGAAGGATTTGTTTATTCAAAATCTTGTGGATGGCGAAACATAACCAAAAGGAAAACGATGAGCGAGTGAAGAAGACAGTGGGGGAGCGATGGGATTGGGTGGTGGTGAAAACCGATACAAAATCGTAAAAGAAAGAATGAAAATTGAAACCCTTGACTTGTTATTTTGCCTTTTTTCTTCGATCACCACAACCTTTTCCGGTTTTCTAAATATTTCGAAATTTGAAAATAATAATAATAATTATTATTATAATAATAATAATAGGCTCCCTTGTCTTGTGATGGAGCTTATTTGGGGATTTACGGTTTAATTCAATTTCGTATTTCGAGAATTGGAATACCCATCTTTTGACATGGTAACTGGTAAGTATTCAGTTTTACATGGATCTTTTAAAAAATAGAATAGATATAGATTTGTTAAGACAATTAATTTTTCGGTTTGTTTACATTTAAATAACAATTAAAATCAATTGTAGCACGTTACATCCGGTCATAACCAGCCATAATGATTATATGTAATATTTCAAAAAACTACGTTACCTAGATGTGTTCAAAAAAAAGATAATTACTCAGATGGGAATAAACCGAAAAGCTAAGAGTAAATTACATAAATGGTCCCTGTGGTTTGGGTAATTTGTGAGTTTAATCTCTAACTTATTTTTTGGACAAACTGCAATTTTGGTCCCTAACTATTTTTTTTCATAAATTGATTGTTTTTCATTGTATCTAATTTTTTTATATAAGGTTATATATTTAACTTTTAAATTTAAAATGTTCCTTTTTTTCTTATTAACACCAGATTGCCAAACAAGAATAAGACTGATATTGAATTGGTATTTATCAAATGGCTTTGCTACATTTTCAACTTTGTCCAGTGTAGATGTGGTCAGGGATTTCTCCAAGGATCGTAAATATGTATTCACTTGTAGTATTTTTGTATAATTATATTTTTATTCTTACACAATTTTGGGCTCATTTTTCGGAGATTTTATAAGAATCATAGTATTAAAATAAAAGCTTTTTTCGCAATGGCATTAAGATGTTCATTGGCAATATGAAACTTTACCTTAGAGGGAAAAGAATATGTGAAAAGGGTTTTTTAATTTGAGTTTTTTTTTATGAAAGTTTCCTGGTTTAGGAAGTTGAGACGAGAAGACTGGTTTCACGATATGTTTATTTTTCATATCTCCAAATGGACAAAAACAATTATTATAATTCTATTTTGATTGTTTCATTTTATTTTAAGAGGTTCTTACATGACATGTTGATAATGCATAATCGGTTGATCAAAAATGAAAATTGGATGATGATTTAAATTTACTTCTTTTTTTAATTCTACTTTTGTTTCCTTTTTGCTTGAAACTGTCCAAAATACCCCAACAGACACTTAGATTTTGATTACTTTGTTTATAGCAGTGTATTTTTATTCACTCTAAAAGTATTGGTTAATAACTTTAATCTAAATATTCTTCTTATAGGAAGAATTAGTGGAAGGGCACATTGTAATGAATACCAAGAAAGAAGCAATCATTTGAATTGTTGATTCTTTTCTTATGATGATGAAAAACAAGTTGTACTTTTTACTAGCTAATGACTTAATGTAACTTGGTTGTATAAGGAAATTTACATTAATGAATTAAATATACATTCATTATTATATTTATTACATTTAAGTATTTAAATATTATATGGAATTTAATAAAATGGAAAAACCCACAAAATGACATATCGATATAATCTAATCTAAATTTACCACAAAATCATTATCATACATACTTATAAAGCTAGTATTTTTTTCTTGAATCTCATGCATTTGAAACCCTCATTCTTTTTTCCTTTCACCACATTCATTTGAAACTCCTATGACTTTTCAATTTGTTTATAATAATAATTATAATTTGGTAATTCGGTTAAACAAATATTAACTCTAAAGTGTATTCATATATAAACTAAATTTTAATATTAAAATAATATCTTTAATTCTACTTATAAAATTATGTTTTTTTAACTTTCAACATATTATACTTAATTTATTAGTTTTAATATATTGCTGGATGTAAACCATTATCATTTTAAAGGTATAACTTTTGAACAATTTTTATAAAATACTTAAATTATTAATTAAAATATAACATTATAGGCTCAACTTAAATATAAACTTTATTTAACTTAAACAACCCAAAGATTATTTTATAAATAGTTAAAAGTGATAAATTGTAGTGTCTTTCTAATAATGATTGTAAATTGGTTAATAAGGTAAAATAAATATCAAACCTAAAATGTAATCATAAATTGACTAAATTTTAATTTTAAAATAATATATTTACTTCTATTTATAAAGTTATGTCTTTAAATTTTAACATATTATACTTAATTTATTAAATTTAAAATGTTGTTGCATATAAACCATTATCAGTTTAAAGCTACAATTTTTGAACAGTTTGGACAAAATACTTAAATTGTTAATTTAAATATAACATTACAGTGTCAACTTAAATATAAATTTCAGTTCCACTAAAAAAAACAAATAATATTTTTTTAAATAGTTAAAAATGATAAATTATAGTGATAAATGCAAAAACTAAATTGTAATATCAGTTTAACTAAAATATTTCCTAAATATATTTATATAATCATTAAAAAATTTCAAATAAATAGCTTAAAATAACTTATACTAACAATAGTTAAAAATAAATCTATATAAATGATTATATTGTTACCTTTAAAATCAGAAAATAATGTTTGATGTTTTAAATAGTTATAATGATTAAAATTAAAACATTAAGCAAATAAATTTTAAAAAATTAGTTAAAAATAACAACTATAAATAATATTAAACCATATATAATATTTAATTTTATTGATGTGTAACTCGCGAGTAGAAGTCATTCAAATGATTGAGATTATGACGTTATAATAGATTTATATATTATTATATAATTCAAAATAATCAATATATTATGTCAAATTAATATACGAATTATTATATCAAATTTAAAAACAACGTTAGTGTTATATTTTAAAAAATATATATTTGTAAATACTTCAACTATATAGATGTTTCTGCGCATTACAATGTCAACTCAAATATAAATTTCAGTTCTATTTAAAAAAACTAAAAAAAAAATATGTTGTAAATAGTTAAAAGTGATAAATTGTAATGATAAAATCAAAAACTAAATTGTAATCTCAATTTAACTAAAAAATTTCTTAAATATATTTTTATAATCATTAAAAGTTTCTAAATAAGTATCTTAAAATAACTTAGAATAACAATAGTTAAAGACAACTCTATATAAATGATTATATTGTTAGCTTTAAAATAAAAAACAATGTTTGATGTTTTAAATAATTATAATGATAGAAATTAAAATATTAAGCAAATAAATTTTAAAAAATTAATTAACAATAAAAACAACTATAAATAACATCAAATCATATATTGTATTTAATTTTATTCATGTGTAACTTGCGAGTAGAAGTCATTCAAACAATTGAGATTATGAAGTTATAATAAATGTATATATTATCATATAATTCAAAATAAACAATATATTATATCAATTTAGTATATACAAATTATTATATCAAATTTAACAACAACGTTATTATTATATTTAAAAAATCATATATATGTAAAGACTTCAACTATATAGGTGTTTCTGTGCAACGCGCGAGCATTCACCTAGTATACTTATAAAAGAAGCATTTTTACTTTCACCACATTCATTTGAAACTCTCATGTATTTTTCCTTTCACCACATTCATTTGAAACTCCTATGACTTTTCAATTTCTTTCAAATAATAATTATAATTTGGTTAATTAGGTTAAATAAATATCAAACCTAATGTTTAATCATATATAAACCAAATTTCAAAATTAAAATAATATATTTACTTCTATTTATAAAGTTATTTTTTTAACTTTTAACATCTTATACTTGATTTATTGGTTTTAATATATTGTTGGATGTAAACCATTATCATTTTAAAGATACAATTTTGGAACGATTTGTATAAAATACTTAAATTATTGATTTAAATATAACATTACAGGGTTAACTTAAATATAAATTTTAGTTTTAAACAACCCAAAGAATATTTTGTAAATAGTTAAAAGTGATAAATTGTAGTGTCTTTCTATTAATGATTATAAGTTGGTTAATAAGGTTAAATAAATATCAAATCTAAAGTATAATCATAAATAAACTAAATTTCAATTTTAAAATAATATTTTAACTTCTACTTATAAAGTTATGTCTTTAACTTTTAATATATTATAATTAATTTATTATATTTAATATGTTGTTATATGTAAACCATTATCAGTTTAAAGCTACTACTTTTGAACAGTTTTGGATAAAATACTTAAATTGTTAACTTAAATATAACATTACAATATCAACTTAAATATAAATTTAAGTTCCACCTAAAAATCCAAAGAATATTTTGTAAATAGTTAAAAGTGATAAATTGTAGTGATAAATATAATAATTAAACTGTAATATCAATTTAACTAAAATATTTCCTAAAGATATTTTTATAATCGATAAAATTGTTTAAATAAGTAGATTAAAATAACTCACAATAACAATAGTTCAAAATAACTCTATATAAATGATTATATTGTTACCTTAAAATAAAAAGATGTTTGATATTTTCAATAATTATAATGATAGAAATTACAACATTAAGCAAATAAATTTTAAAAAATTAGTTAATAATAACAATAATGATAAATAACATTACACCGTATATTATATTTAATTTTATTCATGTGTAACTCGCGGGTAAAAGTCATTCAAACGATTGAGACTATGAAGTTATAACACACACACACATACACACACACACAGATATATATATATATATATATATATATATATATATATATATATATATATAATCATACAATCCAAAATAATCAATATATGGTATCAATTTAGGATATAAATTATTATATCAAATTTAACAAGAACATTATTGTTATATTTAAAAAAAAACGTATATTTATAAAGAGTTCAACTATATAGGTGTTTCTGCGCATTACAATGTCAACTTAAATATACATTTTAATTACAATTAGAAAAGCAAAGAATATTTTGTAAATAGTTAAAAGTGATAAATGCAAAAAATAAATTGTAATATTCATTTAACTGAAATATTTCCTAATGATATTTTTATAATCGTTAAAAGTTTTCAAATAAG